GTAAACAGTCCATATGTTCCGAAGAACATAGGTAAACAGTCCATATGTTCCGAAGAACATAGGTAAACCCTCGACCCTTGGCATGCCAACTATACCCCTAGCTCTCATATCACATAACATGGGCATTATCCTTTATAACAGTTCACATTACTTATTCATATTCTTTCTCTTATAACCACTTATCCTTTCTTTTCAGTCACGTATCACATGTACGTGTAATCATTGATCTCATAACATATACTTGTTTTCACATATATATTTCATATCATTTCACATATACACTTTCATATCACATGCCATATAAGCTCATAGCTTCTTTCACATTCTCATAGGATCACATAGTTCATATCTTATACTTTGTTTTCTCATGTTCACATATATCATGTCATATGGCTCATATTTTTCTCATGCAGTCACATAGTTCAGTTTCACATATGTTCATATATATACATTACATAGCACATACTTCTCATAACATTACATTCAAAAGCATGTTAACACATATAATCATGCATACATACAATTCATGTCATTCATATACGTATAATCATATATTCATGCATTCTAACAGAGGAAATAGACTTGTCGCAAGTCTTGTTTCCATTTAGCACCATAAACTAATTAATATGCACTCACCTGGCCTCACTAGTCAATTCCAATCTCTTATCTTTCCCTTTGATCGATCTTACTTGCCAAACGTTCCGGAATTCTTTATGCGTAGAATCTACATAAATGTACATTTCGGGACAATCATTAGATACCTACACCTTGTAATTGAATACTAGCAACTTAAACGAACTTATTAAACCAATATTTGCATTTTCCTTTAGGGGGAATCGGTTCCCTACCATGGGGGTATCGATTCCCTCGAGACATTCTGGAATTCTGTCGTTTGAAGGGGTATCGGTTCCCCTTGAATGGGTACCGATTCCCCTTGCCCAGAAATCATATTTTGAGCTCGAAAATCCTTCATTTTCAGCTCAACACATCAAACTTCATTCCATTTTCATTCTTAACTCTAGTATACATACTTAAACCAATCTATATTCATTTATTTCATCTTAAACCTCAAAATCCTATCTTCCATATGAGATTCAAAAATCATACCAAATTTTCAATGTGTTCTAATTCCAATTCTAACACTCCAAATCTCTTAATTTAACCATTGACAAGTCAAATTTAACTTCAAATTCTACTTATCAATTCTTTTCCAAAGTTTCATATAAAAATTCCAAATCTTTAATCTCTCTTAACCCCTCCATCATTTGTTTTTAAGATGATTTAAGCTTTCCTTAAGCTTAGTTATCATCTAATAATCAAAACCCAACCTTAAAATCAACAATTCATTTACAAACAAAGAACTTACCTTTTGTAGCTAGCCCCACATGAAGAAGAGAAAGCAAGAAGAAGAAAGCTTCCAGATAGCTCTCTTCCCACGTTTTTCACTCTTATAAAAGGGGGAAGAATATCTTTTAAAGGAAAAGACCATACTACCCTTAATTTCCTTTAATAATTACCAAATAACCTTTAATATAAATTCAAATAATCATTGAATTCTTTCATTCTTATACTTTAGTCACCAAATTCTGAAACTCTACAATTTGGTCACTAATCCGGTATTGCGGATGTTACAAAAAATACCCCTGTAATGAAAATGACCCAAGAATATCACCAAGTTCAGGAATGATTGGATATCCTCGAGCTCTGAAATGAATGGAATAAAACTGAACACAAAAATTACCAAAATACCCTCATGACCTATACCAAGTAAATGCCTTGGATTAATTAAGGAATCCAAATAAGCATATGTATTGGCCTACCTTTAAAAGTAATATAACACAATTTAAGTGAGTAGATCAACCCTAAAGCTATGTCAATACTTGAATGACATAGATATTACTGGAATGCGTGTTCGTCTTCTCAAGTTTGACTCGATGATAAATTTTGGAAGTATTCAGCTTAGCTCAACTCTGGATCACATTCAGTGCTAAGAATTGGACGTTTGTTCGACAAAACAACCACGAAGACCAAATTGAATGGAACGAAAGTGCAACATGTGTCTGAAATTCAGGAACGTTTGAATTACTCTGAAAAATTCCGAAATAACTGAAATGGACATGACTGTTAAATGAACTAGGTAACCTCAATGACTGAGGATTAAGTAAGTGAATTGGATAAGTCTGGAAATTCTGATGAGTTTATAAGATGTACTGTCCTTATGGAACATGAACTACAAATCAAGCATGTCAGTATGTCATGATATCGTGGAAGCTTGGAAACGAAATAAAGACCATTAGAAGATCTATTTAGTGATGATTCTGAAGATGATCTATGGACAAGAATTTGTGGTATTAACGAGTAAATACCCTGGAAGGAAAATGAATTGACCAGTCGACATAGATTATTAAGATTCTGAATCTTCGTTCTGAAGATTGTTCGATTATCCGATCAATTGACATGGATGTAAAGGATTCTGAATACCCATTTGATTATGTATAACTTCTGAAAACTGTCCGAATAAGATATGATCCTAATAATTCACATTATGAATAACTGATGATTCCGTCAGTTAATGAACTTTTCCAATAATATTTCTAACTTCCGGTATTTTATCGGTATACTGAAAATCCGTGTTTCTCTGCCTGCTAAGATTATTTAGCACCTCTAAATAATATCTGTAAACTCTGGTGTGTTCCCTAATCATATAATTATTTTATCTGATTTTCGACTTGAATTCTGTTTTGATACATGACCTGAATTATGTTCTGATTTCTGATCCGGATTCTGTTCTGATATATGTTTTAAATTCTGTTTTGATTTCTGATATCTCTGTTTAATGACAGAAAATTGTTTTAATTGGGGGTATTGTTGAAGGAAGAAGTTTCGCAGGTTCCTCGACTTTGTGCCCAGGGCCTTATATGATGTGTTGGGTAGGGTGTATGGTTCTGGGGAATCTACACATTATGATGTGAACAGATGGGGGTATATATATATATGTTTTAAAAGATCTGTATATTTTTACTAGTTTTAAGGAAACACACTAGACAACCTATTCCGATCTCCTGAACTCAAGCATTCAAAGTATTTATTTGACTAAATGCTCATTGTCCGTTAACATCTGAAATATCAGTAGGATCTCCGATTGGCATAAAAATCTGTAGATGTTCGGAACCAATAAGGAAAGATATGTTTATCTGTATCTGCACGTTCTTCAGCATCGTCTGGTAGTTCTGTATTACTAAGCTTTCCAAAGCTCACTCTGTTACTCATCTTTTCAGGTTAAAAGAATTGTATCAGTGCAATTATCGTCATCAGTAAGGGAGTTCTTCCGATGCTATTTGCAGAGTACGATACATGTGATTAGGGGGCATGTAATTGTATTTTGTTTTGTATACGAGTCTGAAAATCTGTTTTATTTTTAAATAGTGACAAATGATTTTATAAGTTTACATGTTCTGATAGAAAGTTTTAAATTTTTCGCTATTTTTACAGTGGATCACTCCGGTGGCCCTAATGTGACAACCCAGATCGGATCGAGTTACCCGCATCGGTCTGGGGGTTACAGATGAGGTAAATGTGCAGATTGAAACAGCCATTGCAGCTCTGAACGATCCGCAAAGTCCAATGAGCATGTAACGTAAAGTAATGAATGAGTGAGCTAATAATATCCGTTGCTATTTCATTTCACCGTCGTCCTACCTCGCAGAGCATTTAGTTTTCTACAGTTTTTATGTTTGAAATGTAAGAATGCTGAGTCCTTGTCTTTGTAAAATAAGTATCTGTTCCAATGTCCCGTGTCCGAATTCTCAGCAGAATAAAAAATTTCGCCCTTTCAATGAAATAAGACTCCAATTATCTCTTAGGTTAATAGTCTGCTAAAATTATTTTTCTATAACAATTAATATTTAATTTATTGGGTAATTCATTTGAATAGGGTATTATATAATCTTATTATGGGACATACCTGGAACTTTTGGGCCTACTCTTCTAACGAAAGATCGTATTTTCGAAGAGAGGGGAGATCAAAGTGCTTAGATTGAAGTTAGATTAACCAATTAATGGATTAATTGTTCAATGCCCAGCTTGTTTTTAGTAATTACTTTTACCTTTGATAATTGTAAATCCCAAATCCAGTGGAGTTATTATCAATATAAAATATGAGAATTAATTACTTATATTTGTTAATTATAATTTCATAATTCTATAAAATTTTATAACATATATTTTGTTTATTTTTCTATGAACTAATACGATACTTGGGGAAAAAATAGAGGAAATCGAACAAGATGGGTAAATCTTTTCCGTCAAACTCAAAACTCAAAACTAAGATTTTGGGTAAACTGATTGTCAAGTCACTAGACTATAAGGCATGTTCTATTTAGATCATTAAATTATAAATTTTATCAATTAAACCATTTAACTATTTAAATGATAACAATCAAACCACTAAACATTAACAATTAACTAAAATACTAACCTAAACTTAAAGCTCATATTTAAGATTAAATTGATTTTGAATAAAATGACAATGTTGTTCTTATTTAAAATTCAAATTTAAATAATTAATTATGAAAAATGTATGTACATTGTCAATAAATTATACCAACAACCAGTTGATATAGTGGGATGAGACACTAGATTCTTTAATCAATGTTAGGGGTTCAAATCATGGTGTTTGTGAATGGAGCAAACTGGGTTTAGAGGGTCGCTCTCGCCTCTACAATACTTGATTTAAGATTAGTCAGTTAATAGATCGAATACTACTGATTAATTCAAAAAATAAATTAAAATTTTTTAAATAGATAATATCTCATAATTAATCTAGACTATTAAAAATAATAATTTTATAAATTATATTATTAGAAAAAACTATATAATCGTAAAATACATTAGGAAGAAAAAAGAGAAGAGAATTGATCGATAGAAAATCCGGCCCATTGACATCCTAGACCTAGTTGACATCCTAGACCTAGTTGATGTGGAATATCTCTAGTTGGGCGTGTCTTCTTGTTTTGGAGCAATGCTTGTATCTTACGGTGGATTTAAAGCTTCAACCACCGCACACGGATTTGGTATATTCTCGTCGTGTTATTTCTCTCCGGCACGGCAACAATGGAGTCTTTGTTAGCCAACTATGCTTCCGACGACGACGAAGAACCCCAACAAATCACACATCCTCCTCAGACGAAGAACCCCTCTCTCCCTCCACCCAAATCTTATTCCCTTTTCTCCTCTCTTCCCCAGCCTAATCAACCCCTCAAATCGTTCCAAAAAGAAGACGGCGGCGGCGGAAAAGTAGCTGGGGATATCCCCAAACCCTCAATTCCTAACCCCAAGAACACATCCAAGCTTTTCTCTCATCTCCCACAACCGAAATCCCAAACCCCTCAACCACAACAGCCGCCCAATCCCCCAATTGCCAAGAGAATTGTTCAATTCAAGCCTCCCATAAACCCCACCAGCCACATTGACTCGGATGATGACGATGATGCCGAAGAGGAAGAAAGACGAAAGCGCAGAGAATCCGAAAACCTATCGCAAGGCCCCTCTGTGAGATCCTTTCTATCGAGCATACCTGCGCCGAGGAACTCTACTACTTTGGGTGTTGCTCCCTCTTCAGGTTCAGGAAGAAGATCCATTATCGAAACCACCCAAGTCCCCACATGGACTTCATCCACCTTTGAAGACAAAAGCGAGGCAAGTATTAATCATAATGCACCCAATTATTCGAATTACGACATGGATACAGATGCAAATGCTGGAAATTCTATGAATTACGCCAATTATCAGTCAAGTAGTGATCAAAATTCAGGGAACTATTCTGATCAAAGTATAGGTCATTATGTGAATTATGCTGATTATAGTAGCTATCAATCGAATAGTGACCCAAACGTCGGGAACAGTGATGTGGCTACTACTTATGGGAGTTATGAGAGTTATGGGAATTACCATGCCCAATATGAGAATAATTGGGCTGATGGGTCAGCGACTACTATATTACCAGATTCTTCAGGGATGGCTGAACTTGGGGTGAAAGTTAAGGGAAAGAGAGGGAGGAATGATATACCAACAGAAATTGTTGAGGTGAAGCAGGATGAGCTTATGAAGAATCGGCCTAGGGAAGACCAGGTCAAGATGACCGGAATAGCTTTCGGGCCTTCTTATCAGGTATTGAACTTGAAAGCTTATCTACTTTTTCGCCATGTTGGTTTAATTTTTGTTCATGTCTTATATGTTTCTCATGCCATGTATTGCACTCGCTTTTGTGTTACTTTCATACACTTCTTAAGTTACTTAATAGACATGGTCAATTAAATCATTAGATCCTGATTTAGCATGAGCTAGTTGTAAGTCTCTTTTCTGTAGCTATAGCTGTTAAGGTTTTAGATTTCGAGTAGATTATTTCCATGAAATAGCATATCAGTCAATGGTATTCCCATTGACATGTAGTATAAACTGATAATGCTTACAGTGCTCCATATTTAGATTAACACTTACAATGCGAATAAAGCAAATTGTTGATGTGTGCATTATGTAAAAGAAGCTTATGTTATGTTCTTATTATTCCTGAAAACTATGAAAGAAACAGCATTTTGAAGGATAATGCTAGTTTGACTAAAGAGTTATGTAGGCGTATCCGATCAAGTGAGGAAATAATAAACAATAATAAAGGGAGGTTAGCCTTAGGACAAGCAAAGTAACCTTTTGAAGTCATCTTTTACCTTCTCTCTCCGATATGCCACTGTACTCATACTGTCCTATGGCAATAAGAAGGGATACTGTTCACAGCCTGCACTACAGCCATGTTTGTTTTATACCCTCCAATTTTTATGGTATTTACCATGCTCGCTTTGCATGCATGCAGCCTGCTTCGTCGAAGGGTAAACCGAATAAACTTCACAAGAGGAAGCACCAAATCGGGTCCCTGTACTTTGATATGAAGCAAAAGGAAATGGAGCTGCAAGAGAGGCGATCTAGAGGTTTGCTTACTAAAGCTGAAACACAAGCCAAGTATGGATGGTAATCTTGTAATATGAAGCACGAAACAGTAGATCATGTGCTTCTTGTTTCTTTATTTGCTTGCATCTGAGACTAGGAAATGGTTTCCTCTTTGCTCCAATATTTTTCTTCAAGCTGCATTTATGTTATACTTTACAGTACCTTTTAGTTTAATTTGTATTCTGAACTTAGGTTTTTATACCCGATAATTTTATGTTTACCTTTCGGAACATCATGTACGACTTGATTTTTATTCACCTATTAACCACTCATAATTAAATTAATCTAACCGGATTTTATTTTCATTTAATTTATAACTAATTTTATTACTATGTTATAAATTAAATATTTTATATTAAAAAATAATAAAATAAGTTTATATATGGAAGTGTTTTTTAAAATAAGAACCCAATGTCCGAACCAAAAAAATTTGATTCGATTAACTTCAATATTCAATTGGATTTAGATTTGATTTTTTACAAAACCAGAATACTGAACCATAACGGCAATTTTGTCTGAAACCGATTGAAACCAAACCTTTAAGGCCGGTTTATTAGAAGGGATCAGTTAATTTACTATTTGATGTGAATAATGATTTTTTCCACTGTTATTAAATATTTATATAAATTTAGATTAATCATTTCTGATAGTTTTATTATAAAAAAGTAATAATATTTTATACTGTATCCAACTAAGGGATTGGAGAATTATATTTGAGATTCGGAAAGGCTGGTGATGGTTGAAGTAAAACAATACAATGGAGAATAGATGTTGCATTTAAGCTGTCAGAGTCGCCAAAGATTGCATAATACGCTGTTGCCGGCCCCGAAACATATGATCGAGTAGAGTATATCAGAGCATGTCGTAAACCAATGGTTTTGACATTGACAGTAAATCATTAGATGCTGCAAAAGGGCTGACTTGTATGATAATATCCATCAACGTGGGTTCAAGTGAGCAGGTAACCCTTGATCGCACATGATAGGTAATTTTTCGGCATCGAACCAATTGAAGCACATTCCAAAAGAATGACACCCCAAACCGAAAGTACCTTTGAATGATACTCAGCTTCAGCATCGATAAAAAAACGATATAACAATAGTAAGATCGATTATCGACTTTATTTACATGGACAACCACCATCAAGTAAAATAAAAAAAGGAACGAATCCTTATTTGAGCAAATCAACAGAAAAAAGCAATACATACCATACCCAACATCAAACATCAAATTGTGTTTCCATGCTAGTCTTTCACTCACATAAATGAGAGAGAAAAAGAAGTTATCTTTATTTTTGCATCGATCAAGACAGCATCTTCGTGCTTACAGTTTCAGAAATTACACCCAGAAGCATTAAGCAAATCCATTTGGCACAAGATAAACCCGAAACATCTTTAAGCTGCAAAAAAATAGATTGTGAAATCACTAATATTTGTAATATAAGCCATAATAAATTAAAATACAAGTATTCAGATATTAGGCATGGTTATACTTCACAACAACTGATATACTACTCAATTTAGCCCCCCATACTACACTCGTTTCTCTAAACATTTTTTGTTCACTTTGGTCCTTAAACTATCATTCAGCCACAGATTAAAAAAATTGCAATTGAAACAAATAAGGACATGATACATGGTAGGTGGAGCCATCAATTTAGTCCCCATACTACACTCATGTTTTTACTTTGGTCCATAAACTGATTTTATGTTCACTTTGATACTTAAACTATCATTCTGCTCCAGAGTAAGGAAAAATACTGGCAATGCTAGCCGATTAGAAGAAGACATGTAGTAGATAACGTTTATCAATGACATAGGTAAGACAAACACATAGCACATTGTTATTGACTGGCATTGCTACCTTTTCTTAACATTGTTAATTTTTTTGGGTCAAGAGGGGCAAACAATAGTTTAAGTATCAAAATGTGTCAAAAAGAATTTAGGTACCAAAAGGGTTAAACAGGAATAGTTCAATACCTTGATCATGAAGAAAGCATTTATTATACGACACGAAAGTATTATAACTAATCAGTAAAATAATAAGCTAAGATGGTTTAAAATAGGAAATCTAAGAAACAAAAAGTCAATTATCCAAAATATATATGCGTGAGCGTGTGTGACAAATATAATAAAAAGGACAAAATTTCATTAAGTAATCGAGAAAATATATTGGTTTTGGAATGAAGGGAAAGTTGAAAGGCAATATGGCTATACAATTACATAATAACGCCAATTAGTTTTTCTTAAAAAAATGGCAAATGAGAACAGCATAACACCATTAAAACCTTGTTTCCATGGCATAGACATATATGAGGGAAGAATTATCTTCTAGAGATGGAATTCATATCCTACACTACTAACTTCAGACTGCTTCAAATAAGTTTCTATGACCACCCTCCACAACTCCCCACTGCCCCGAACAAAAAAAAAAAAATAGGGTAAAAAATAACCTATAACACATTTATCACTTGAACTTTAACATAGCCCTTATGACAGAATTTCTCAAATAAATGTGATGTGACCGCAACACGCAAACACTACAAATGTGTCAAACGTAGCATCTACACACATCAATTTAAATTCCCAGAAGTGTATCAAAAGCCATCTTCTCATATCAGCCACAATATTTCCTCTATAATTGTTATGAAATTTATCTGGTCGGCATAGGAAATGAGGATGCTACGGATGCCAACTAAGTCTAAGTCTATCTAGTTTATGAAATATATAAACTATCGACTAAACAAAATTAGCGTAGCTTTTCTAGCAATGGGATAAGCAGCTATCATATATTCATAAAAACCAGGCCAAAAGCTCGATTGTATCAGCATTCATGAAAATAAAGAATCTAAAACTAAACTTACCCGCATTTCAACAACGAAAAATGAATTCTCATTCCAATGGACTACTCAGAACAACGAACCTCTAAAAAATAAAGCAAAAAGATATGAGGAGTACCAAGATGGGATCAGTGATGGCCATGTTGCTCGGCATGTTGGTTGTGCTCGAGATGACGACGCTCGTTGGGAAGAGCGACGAGGTAAGAAAAGATCATCCCCCCGAAACAGACGTGGTAAAGAGGTTCGATGGAGTCTGTCTCGATGTACTTGGCATGGTAATTGTCCAAACCCCTCTGAACAGCTTTCTTGACGTACCCAACGGATAGCATCGGCTTGAAATAGCTCGGAACTTCCTTCAGTTTCATCCCTTTTATCTCGCTATAAACTTTTCTCATTGACATTTTCACAATTTCAAGCAAATCCTAATTTCCTTTCTTTTTTTTTTTGCTCTCTGCGTGGCGTACAGAGATCTAAAACGAACTTGAAGAATAAGGATGAGGATAGACGAGATTGTCATTTTAAGACCAAATAAAACAAAGGCTTAAGCCTTATGGTCCAGCTGGAGTCTATTTTTTTTTTCTTTTCACGTTGGGCCAGGCTGCTTGGTTATCCATTTTCTTTAAAGTTAAATTTGTATAAATTAAGATTTCTTTTAGTAAGATAAACACCATATTCGTGTTTAAAGAGTTGAAAAAAAGTAAATAGAATATGTTAAAGTATGATGACCATTAATAATAAAAAGAGTATGATAACAATCATCAATAAAGATTAAAATTATTATTTAATTATTTTTATAATAATATTTATTTATACTTGAACAAATAATTAAAACCCGAGATAAATTTTAACTAAAATTAAGAAAATACCAGGTGTGGAAGCAAGCAGAGTACTCAGAGCCAAGCCTAACCAAACCATTCCGAAACCCAAAACAAAGAAAAAGTTATGGCCCGAATGCTATCGAAAACCCTACTCCTCAGCCGCTCCCTTCACCACCACCGCTCCTCCTTCTTCCGCCGCTTTTCATCAAAGCCTGAGCTTTTCGAAATCGATCTGGACTCCGCGTCTTCATCAGCCACCGCCATTAACAAAATGGAGGAAATCATCCACGCCATAGTAGTCCAGAAATCCACCCCTGATTGGCTCCCTTTCCTCCCGGGCTCCTCCTTCTGGGTCCCTCTGCCTCGCCATGGTTCCAAGCGAGTTTCCGATATTATTGACCAGTTGACCAATCAACTCACTCCCGACGAGTACCTCTCTCTCACAACTGGCCGCGGCTGGCCCTGCGCCTCCTTTTTTGTCTCAGGTAATCCTTATTTCATCTATTTGATGGTTCTTGAAGAAATCGGCATCGGTTTGTTTTCATTAGAGAGTTAATTTTGGGATTTGGGTTGTAGATGGTGAGTATGCAGATGTTTCAAGCATGGATGTGAAATTGAAAAATCCAGAGCAGCAGGAAGAGGAAGTTGAGGTGGAAATTTCGATTGATTCAGACAATGAATCTTCTTGACATGCGGATGATTATGATGATCCTACTGAATAATTTCCATCTCCCGCAACATGCTTCCTCTCATCTCAGTTGAGTCGTTTCTTTTTGGTACTTTGCTTGAGTAGCTTAGTTCTTTTGGAATACGATTAACAGCTGAAGTATTATGTTTCTTCAGCATCAGTAAAATTATGCAATTGGTTTAACTGAATGAGCTTCCAGGACGGAACTTTAAGCTGACAATGTATATATAGTAGTATAATTTTGTTTAATTTCACCATTTTCTTTTTCCTGAGTCAACTGGTTAACATCTTTAACTCAAATTCAAATTTTTTTCTAGCTGAAATTTGCTCTCCTTTTTGTCAAGCTTTACTTCTAGTTTACATGCCTTTTATGCTAGGGGTTCAACCTACTAACTCTGGGTAACTCTATACATGGAGAAAAGCAACAGAAATGTTTATTTAGAATACAGAAATGTTTGTTAACTTATCCATCGAAAAAAGCCAATCGAGGGTTGTTGAGACTTGAGACTTTGAAGGTCGGTTTCCTATTTCTCTTGAAGCTGCCAAAAGAAATTAGCTGACATTTAGGATCCTGATTTTAATCCAGTGGTGGCCATCAGTGATTGGATATGAAACTCCTTAAATACATCTATTTGAAAACTGGTTTTGGTTTTACTTCATGGAAGCTAGGGTGTGTTATTGACATGGATTTTGTGGCATATTTTGTAGTTCTATGATTTTTGGTAAATTTATGCCAATGCTCAATGTGCACTCAAAGTAATTGTGTTTCTTGGAGCTAGTACATGGAGTGAACGGTGTCTGCATGCTTGTACAAGTCTAGAAAACTATTGTGTTGCTGCAAGAGCTGAAAATGAATAATGTTTTCTAATATTCATTTTGTTAATATGATCCAAACGGTTGGTATCGAAGTAATGATCGTGATATGTATCAGTATTACCTTCATTAGCAGCAAACAAATTGCCATGTGTCTTTGAGTGCAAAACCTTTCCATTTTTATTTTCAATAGGCAGCTATCAGCTCAGTTCATTTGAACAATTATCTTGTCTCAGCTACGGTAGATAATTGCAAAATGCTAATCGATACATCCTGTTTTTGTCGATTAGGCTTTTCATTTTCCCCTCTGGTTCAGATCTGAAATTTTGGTGGTAGATCTCCACCCGTTTGTTATATTTCTTTCGAATTAATGTTTCTCATATGCAGGCTTGGTCACCTTTCACATCTAGTTCATTACGGGAGAGGCTGCTTAATGAAATGCAAGTAAGATGTTGTACAGATACAATTTCCAGTCTTAGTATAGATAGTTTAATGTTATGCTTTGCTTCAAACCTCTTTAACTTCATTCTACTGTGGAAGTTGTTGATGCTTGGTTGAGCACCGGTTACCATTGTTTACTGTACATTTGCACGTATTGCTGACTCGATGTTTAGTTTATATAAACTTTTAAAGTTGAGTAACATAAAAATTCCATGGTTTATGCTGTGTTCTGCTTTAAGAGTATTAATACTTGTCTTTGATCATTACAATTTAGCATGTATCGACTTGCCCTGGCATTGTCATGGATTTTCCCCAAGCCTCGTCTACTTTGAGAATTGAGAAGGGAAGATCTGTGTACAGTATTTTTAATGTATTTTGTATAGAGCTTTGCATCACACTGTTATGGTGAGTTTCTTGGATTGATTGGTTATAAATTGCAATATATATATATATATATAAAATCATCTGTATTATAAAATTGACTGATTGGTTCGTTAAATATTTGCAAGAAAACCAAAAATCTATTCGATCTGGAATGTAGTTCGGCTCATGCACAGGTTCATGCTTGGATAGCAATTAAGTATATTTATGTTCAAGTGCACTGAAACCTGAAGTTTTTTTTGGATGCTGCAACAGTAATGATACATATGTAAATTGTGATTGTTAATTGTTTTATTATACTTTAATGGTTATAGAAATATATAAAAAGATAAAATATAATTATATTAATATTAATTATCATTTAAGGGGGTAGTATTTTAATTAGTTTTCAATTGAATTAGAGTCTAATATATAGTAATTTTTTCATGAATTCGGTTATGGTGGAAATCAAATTCTTCAATGCATTATGAGGAATTCAATTATGATTTTAGCCAAGTTTAGGTGACGATGACTTATGGGATTCAGTCATCTCTCATGTCCAAATTAGAAAGAGATTGTCTCGATGAAAAATGTGAAGTTTGATTCTAGTTATAGTCGAATTCTTAATAAATATGATAATGAAGATTTAATTATAGACTTTAATCACCTCTTAATTCCAAAGAGATTTTTAAATAAAAAAAATATAGAATTTGATTTTAATCAAAGTCGAGTTCTTAACAAAAAAGAAAAGAAAAACTCTAAATTTATTTTAAAAATATTATTATTTTAAAAATTAGAGTCCGGGAAAAAACCTTTATTATATAATTTAAGAGTTGAGACCAATCTATAAAACAATTGTTCGGAATAAAAGCAGATCGCACCACATATACATATATTAACAGCATCACATTAGATAAAAATAAGGTCAATAACAATTCCGAAAACTAAAGGACTATTTGTTTATTTTTTAATAGAATCATTTCAGTATTCATCGTATTTATTTTATACTTTTAAATGATTTAATGCTGATTGATTTAACAATACAGTAATAAATAATTCATTAAAAAATACATTCTAAATGATTCCGTAACAAACAGCCAACTAAAAAAAACTGAGAAAGGAAAAGGTTTATCTATAAAATTGGTCCGACAAGTATCAGTGCTTGAAATTTAGAACAACGGAGGTCATTTGAATTTCATTCCCCTCGTCATGGCTGAAGAATCTGAAACGGCGTCAACTAGTTCACAACCAAGATCCTCCGTTAACACGGCACAAATATCCCAGGTTTTCTTCTTCAATTCACAATTTTCTCTTAAGGATCTTTTCCCTACAATTCAATTGTTTATTTTTTTCGTTTGCATCCGTGGGTTTTTCGATAGCGATAATGTTTTCTGGAAGCTTGAGAAGAAAAAAAATTTATTCAATTTTTTTCCGATTACCTCTTGGGGAATTTAGCTATCTCACGGAATTGAGTTTTTTAGGTATTTCGTAGCCTCCCCCCGTTTCAGTCGTGATAAAATATTTGGTTTTTCAATGGGCTGGACATAAAACGATGGTTTTGATTCATCCAATGTTGATGAGTTATGAGATCTGAGTTCTAGCTATATCTTCTGGCAAATTATTGGCCGATGATATCTAATGTTTTGAGTTAAAATTGAATTTGGGGACTGTTCTTCCTGAACCATCTATAAAGCACTTTGTCATTTATATGCCGGTGCACATTTTAAAGATATTCTGCTGTAGTTACTTTAAAAAGAGGAACCAAAAGAGATTTTGCTGTCTCTTTGCTTGAAAATTCATGCAACTTATCTATGCGATTAGGGATATGCATTCCTTCATTTGGTTGACTATAAGATGAAAATCTTACTTTTTATGTGTGTCTTGGGAGAGCAACCTAGTATTGCTCTTGTATTGAGTATTTGTTGATTGCCACATGCATTATCATATATGGGTCCAGTTATGATCAATTTGGAGATGTCCGGCATTTTGTTGTCACGATGCTAGGAAGTGCTTCATAAACGGAATTGTTATGCGCAGTGGTAAAGGTTTTCAAATTAAGAGCTGAACCATTTGCGTGTTGCAATCATTTAGTAGTTAAATGGGAACATTTACATCATTTTTATGTCTAGAGAGAGAGGTCAGTCATAAGATGATAGAAAGTCTGTATTCCCAAATAATTTCCAGCCAAGTAATAGAGGACTACAAATTTAACAAAATGATGTTTAAATTGAATCCGGTTAGCTCCTGTTCTGACCTATTTGGTGAATACTAAAATTTGTGGATGAGAGTTTTGTTGTTTTTTTCTTCACTAGTGCTTTGTGTCTGTAATTTTCTTTTCACTCTTAGTTTCTGTATGTCTTTTATGTTGCAGCTTCCTGGATATTTTGGTGTTCCAGCTTTTCAAAATGGTGATTTTCAGATGTTTCCAGTTATGTTTCCTGCAATTATCCCAGGTTTAACTTCATTACAAAATCAGGAACAGATTAACCGTGGAGCAGGCATTTATGCTGTTCATGTTCCACCATTTATGGGGCATATTGCTGGAATCTCATCTAACAATCTCATTCCCCTCACCTATAATATACCCACGTAAGTAAATATGCAGCTTGTATATTTCTGTAGTTTATCTATCTCCCTCTTGTTAAATGAAGATGCCCACCTACCATTCCATAGCATTAGGGTTGAGCACCAGTAAGTGATCCTAACAATTTTTTAATTTATCCGACTTCTACCACGAAATATGGGTCCAGTTCAATTCAGTTGAGTTTGAAGAAAGAATTTGATATGCTGGGTATGTTTGATTATTTGTTAAGATAAATTCATGCCCAAGCTATTTAAATAAATGTATATATTAGATTTCAAATTTCGTCCTTGTCACTGTCTTTTTCCCATCACTATATCATGCCTGTTAACTTTCTTTTTATTGTTACAACATTCAGCACCGACCACAAGCTTTTGAGGAGCTGCCATTGCCCATTACTAGACAATTTGGAGCCTCATTTTGTTATTTTCTATACATTTTGCTTCTTTATTTTTCTTCTTTATATATATATAAAGAAATGACCATCCAACTCAGTTAGTAGAGCACAAGGTTCTTAACCTTGAGGTCGTGGGATCGAGTACCACGGAGGGCATTTCATAATTCGGAGGTCTCTTACGGAAGCTGCTCTCAACGTGGTGTTGGGGGTAGCCTACTATCTTACCTCCCCCTTACCCCATACATATGGAGGGTATTTCATAATTCGGAAGTCTCTTACGGAAGCTGCTCTCAACGTTGTGTTGGGGGTAGCCTACTATCTTACCTCCCCCTTACCCCATACATATGGGAAAAAGGGACAGCCATTTTATATATATATAAAGTAAAACAAATTTAGCTATACATTCTATTTCTAGGAAGGGGATTTTATTCCATTGTAGGAAGAAAATGGATTTGCTAACTTGCATTGAATAAAAAATCATCTGAGATGTCCGATTCAAATCTCCTGATGCTACAGTATTCATGCTTTTAACTTGTTTCCCTTTTCCTTTTATCCTACTTTGCTACCATACATCCTATTCAAATCTCCCGATTTACTTTTATCTTGCCTTGTTGCACGGTTTCCATTAACAGAAGGTCTGTGACGGAGGCAGGGGCCGCAATTGAGGAGCAAGGGCAAGGAGCACAACCCCAACATCAACAACAGATAGGATCTCAAAGACAAGTTGTCGTAAGAAGATTCCAAATTGCATTTCAGCTGGATTTGTTGCTTATACTTAAGCTAGCGGCTGTAATATTTTTGTTCAACCAAGATGGATCAAGACAGAGGCTGTCTGTCCTTGTTTTCTTTGCTTCACTTGTCTATTTGTAAGTTCCAAACTTCTAATTGCTTAGAATTTAACCCTTGCTCTGCTCATCAGAACTGCCATTTTCCTGATTATTTAGTTTAAGCTATGATACAAGTCCTTGAATCCTGCTTTTGACCATCTTTGTACTGATTGGGTTGCTGTGGCTTGATGGGTCCTTGTGTATCAGTAAGGGGTTAGGAAGAAGTATTTTTTCTGCAGAATGGAGAATGTGAGTTTTGCTTTAAAAGAAATTGTGATCCTTTCTTTGTCGGTTGGGTGAAGTGGTGGAGCATTTCTATCGTTAGAATCACATATACTTCACTAATGGCGTCAGAGTTTAGGCTAATAAATGGGGTGGTCTAGTTTTTCTCAAATAATGATGGGCGGTTCTTGTTTTCACTAACCTTTCACTTCCACATTGTTTTTTCCCCGGCTGAGATAAACAATGACAATGGTTTTGTGTAGTATTCTAAATTCTAAAGTTAAGGACTCTTCTTGATACTTTTCAGTGTAACATATATTGGTTTCTTGCAGGTATCAAACTGGAGCACTCACGCCATTGATAAGATGGCTTTCCCAAGGCATGCAGAGGGCAGCCACACCTCCACGAGGGCCTGCTGCCAGAGCAGAGAATGTTCCTGCTGCTGGAAGGCAGGACAATGAAAATGCAGCTTTGGCAGGTAATCTCTTTTAATGTTTAAGTTTTTGTGAACCGAAATTCGTTCAGCCTTTCATTCATATTTTATTTATTTAACATCAAATGTCAACCGACCAGCAGATAATGGCAATCAGGCAGCTGAGAATGAGAATGAAGCAGAACCTGGTTTAGGAAATGCTGGTAATCAATGGTGGGGAATTGTAAGGGAAATCCAAATGATTGTTTTCGGCTTCATCACGTCTCTTCTCCCAGGCTTCCACAACATAGAATAGGTCATACTTTAGAGAACCGACAATCTTTTCCTTGCTAATTAATCATTTAAGGAAAAGGAAAAGTTGAAACCGATGTTTATATAGGTAAACCTAAACAGATTCGGTTCAGTCGCTGTATGGTGCTTGGTAGCCCCACTGCATCTGCAACAGGCGTTTCTGTTTTACTTACAAACCAGCATGCTTTATGTAGTTGTTTGGTAGTTGAAATGGCATGCAAATGAAATGCAGATTTCTTTGTAATGCAGCAATGGAATGAGAGGCTGGCTTCATTTTTGGATGTTGTTTTCTTGACAGAGTTTTGGGTCATTTCTATTGTTGCTTACTTGACCTTTAGTATTTGTTATTCATGTCAACATCTAAATCAATTTATTATGCGCATCAAATCGAGAAAATTGAGTTGGAAAGATCATCTTCATAATAGATTTCTACAATACCCTATATGTTGAACATAAAAAAAATAAAGCTCATCATAAAATTAAGAAAATTGTTGCAATTCAAATTCCCCGTAATGCTTGAAAAAATTACAATAAAAGTTCCAACAGAAGAGTGTATACACATCCTTGATTCTCTCACACCGACAAAGACTTAGATTTTAATACATACAAGGGTCAAGAAATTTATTTTATTAGCATCGAAAAATGGTAATTACATCAAGTATGTACAGGTTAATTTAATTGGAAAAGGGAAACTAAAAAATCTCACATCTCTGATAAAAGATTGCTGATCTTCCGAAGCTCCTTGAGAGCTGTAACGGCTGTAACTTGCCTTTTGCCAACTAGATTGTTTTTAGACAAATTCTCCAATGATCCTACTTGGCCTTGATCTTGCTGGAAAACCGACTCCAGAACCTGCCAATCAAAACACGGTCATTCAACAATTCCATTAAAGTAAACCGAATAAAGGAATCACCAATCTTCATTTAACGTCAGTTCCGGGTTTCAGTGATTCAACAATAAACATTTTCCTTCGACAGATTGAAGCTTGGCATAGTTAAAACAACCGGAATATTACCTGGATGTGGTCAAGCATAGCCTGCCCAAGATTCTTCAATGTCCCCATCATATTCTGGTCCACAGTATCACCTTTGCTCGTCGGATGTGAGTTACAAGAAGCACCAGCAGCAGATGAGTCTGCTGTACAGCTTGTACTGCTCTTGCTATCAAAAATTGGAGGTTTTGCAGCCTCATTGTTACCTCCTCGTTTATCGGATGTCTTCTCACTGACATTGCTTTGTCCAAACTTCCGAAACCACTGGAATTTACCTGAAAGATGCCTTCTCTCCTTCGTTGATGAGGTCTTCCCTGAAGATTCATTCTCATGCAGAGGACTTCGTGAGACATCTTCGGTAGGAAAGGGAACCTGATGTGGTAAATCTTCTGGGCTCCTCCGCCGGTGATCATCATTATCATCTACCGATAAATTTGACGTAACACTACTCTTTTCTGTGTCATTTTCATGATCATTAATGCCACAACCAGGAGGACTTGATGGGTCGGAAAAAATAGATGAGTTCTCTTCACTGACAACAGCTCCACTTCCATTCTCACATCTATTCTCTGCTGTGCAAATAGACCGCTTGTTAGCACAATTTTGTTCCTCCCCCTGAACCTCTACAGAATGATGGTCGTCTGAATTAGAAGCCTCGAAACAGCATCCCTTTACAGCATCATCCTCCAAGCCAAGCTTCTTAGACAAATCTTCAAGCAAATTACGCCTAACGGAATGATTGTCCTTTTTGCATTTTTCTTTTCTTGCAGGTGATGGTGCAGATTCAGTTCTAAGTAGGCCAAACTTTACTTTTTCAGACCAACTCTTTTTCCCACTTGTAGCATGCTTTCCTAAACTATTTTGCCTTAGCTCCTCTGCCTTATGAAGTACTCTCCACTTTTCTTCCCAATAGCTGTCAGGCAGCGGGGTTGGAGCAGGTTTCGGAGAACCTAAATCAGATGAAATTTTGTGGCTGCTCGATGGAGATTTCATGCAGTTATAAGCCCCACCAAATGCAGACAACAAAGATGCTTTGTTAGATTCCAATGCAAGAATTTGCAGTGACTTTGCCCTCTCTATACGATTTTCCAGATTTACACACTCTGGAAAATTCAGGAGTCTCTGAAGACAAGAAGTTGCAGTTTCAGTGGCAAGCAAGGAAGATCTCAGATAAAGTATCATAGAGACTGCCATAGCGGCAATTAGTGCTCCACGGCGTGAACTGAGTAGTTTAAAACTGAAATGGTCAGCGTCCTCAGAAACTTTATTGAGTGGGCTATTATCTTCTGAGAAAATCTCATCCCATACAACTAAGAGATTTTGAAGTGAAAATTCCCGTCCAAATAAAACTCGCAACCAGCGAAGTGCGAAATATTGCGGTTCAACACCAAGCTCAACAAGATGGGTATGCAGAGATGAATCAACGATTGACAGTAAATGATATAGTGCAGCCGAGGCTTCAATGACAGGAGGCAAGCCACTTTGGGACTCAGCTGCAGGAGAGGAAGCAAAAAAATCTGCCATAGCAACTGAACCATGTGCCCCAATCATCAGAGCATCAAACATACAATAGGCATCATGTTCCATAAATTTCTCAGACAAGACAATACCAAGTTCACCTTCAGCTCCGTAAGCATCACTTAGCAATACAATGGCCTGTATCTCGGGGTCAAGCTCATAAAGACTGCAGACTTTCTTTGAATTGCGTTGAGAACCAATCTCATCTTCCATAGAATCTGAGAACTTCTTAAAATCAAAATTGTAAGCACCACCATTTTCTTCAAATGGAAATCCATCAAATTTGTCAATGAACTGGTCTTCATATAGCTTCCGCACTTCTGAGAGACGCTCAACATCAATATGAAGAACATACAGCAGAGGAGCCAAGAGTTCATGCATTCCTACAAATAAGCAAGAAAGAGAAACAGATAAAGAACCAGTTTTTGATGCCTCGCATATTCATATAGTAAGAGTTAAAATTTAGTTGACCCAGGATATTGTCTTCCAAATCCAACGTTTTTTCATTGCACACTACGAAATAAGATTTGAATTACCAACTTCCAACTAGCCTTCGCCTAAGATGATCACAACCATATTACTTTTATGTCTGAAACATTAGGATCCAAACCCCTGAAAACACAATCAGTATTTTGCATTGCAAGGCATTTGCTCATTTCATTTTTCAGTGAGATAGCATGAAAAGTAATAACACATGCGTGCAAAGCGATTAACAAAATACCTTGTCTATAACCACAGTCTGGGTGTCTAAGGCACCACAATAACAATACCCGTCTCAACATTCCCTGGCATCCGGGAGTCTGGAAGTAGCTTTCATGCTCTGGATATAATCGTGATAAATCCTGGTTAACCATTTTCTCCAGCTCAGCATTCCGAAAGAATTGACTCCAGGTGCTGTCTGCAAGAAGAATTAGCTATGGCTTAAATAGATCAAACGAAAAACACTTAAAATCGTAAAACAGAGTGAAACCACAGTAAATTTACTCGTAGAAGAATGTTCAAAACATTTAGCCAGGTCTAATTTCCAACTGAAAAAGTAGAGTTACAATTCCTGGATTAAAAAACAATCAACCAGGATAGGGTGTAAAAGGATGAAAAGAGAATTGCCTCCTTTTTATGCAGCTGAAACAGACACCGGACCCATAAACAATTGTCCATACAAATTTAGCATCAACGTACAGACAACAGTACTAGAAAGAAAAAACCGATGGATAAAAAATGCAATTATATAGTCCCTGCTGAACTAAAAATCAAAGCGATGCAGCAAAAGAAAGCAGAGAAATTACAATTACCTGGGTTTTGTGAGAGCGGATTATCCATAACAAGATCGGGGGCATTTCTTGCTCCGTCTTTGGGAACGTGTGGATCCACCAGCAGTTGCCTTCTCAAACCAGCATATCTAAATGCCCATGAAACCAGAGATTTGAGACTAAGCAGTTAGCTTTTATTTCCAAAAATGTAAAAATGGAAATAAAAACTCTAATAATTGATAACTGTAATTGAATTAAGGAAAATAATGTTCTTTGAAAAGATCTTAACATGAAAAAAAGGGTAAAAGTAAAATCGCTTGAAAACCCAGAGACACAAAGTTATCATTTTATATTAAATTTAAGCTAGAATTAGCTGAAACATTAAAAAACAATGATTATATTTAAAATTAGAAAAATAAAAATAAAAAAGATCAAGTTTTGGTAATCTCTACAATAAAAAGAAGCTCAAAATTACATATTCTGCCTTTGATGCCTAGTTTTTTCATCATATAAAATTAAAAAATAAGGTAAAGGAAAAGACGAAAGGGTTACCTTCTGCGAGAATCAGCTGTTACCCTTCGGAGATCATCAATTGAAGAAGGAGGTAAAATTCCGAGATTGATACGCCATTGGACGCCTCTCAGACTAGCAAAAACACGATTTTCGGCCTGAGCGACAGCGGACGACGAAGGCGTTACTTCCTTTACAATCTCTTTGCTCATTCCTTGCGATCAGAAACACAAACAACTAGACAAAAGGATAAACCGTTACGCCTGGATTTGGGAGACCAAAAAAGGGAATTGTGCAATAACCAGAGCATTCAAGCGTTCAATTTCTCTCTCTTTCCCCCATTTTTTTTAGAGAGGAAAAAGAACAAAATAATAATTGAAAGAGACATGAAATAGCAAAAAATCAGCATGTTTGTTTGCTTGTTTATTCTTTACTTGTTAACCAAATCTAAGTTTTATTTATTACAATATTATTACAAATTTACAAACATATCATTTTATAATTAGAATTAAAATAAATACTTAAATAATATAATATAATATAATAATTGTTTTAATCTCTAAATGATCAATAAATTTAAATTTTCGTATTTAAAAATTTATCAGTTTAATTTCTTTTTATGATACTATCAAACTAAACAAATTTATTGAATCAAATAACATTGGGATATATATATTCTGTTATAAAGTAGCAATAAGTTACTGTATTGAACTATTATTACATCAAGAAACTAACAAAAAAGCAATATAATATTCTTATGAGAAGAGCAAGTAATCTAGGGGAAGAGCAAATATTAATTAATAGATTTTTTAAATATGAATAATTAAATTATTTTAAATTAAGATCAAATTAATTGAACTCATGAATTATAAAATTAAAATTATTATTATATCAAGTCATGTCAATATTACGATAAAATGTTTAATGAACAATAATATTTTTATAGAATAATATTTCAATTGAGTAATTAAATTATTACTGTTAAGAAGAAAAGTGACTCTTTTATATTCGAAGTAATAATAGAGTGACATGAGGTCTTTTTTACTCTTAGGGTGTGTTTGGTTCACGAAATGTAAGATTATCGGTGGGAATAAAATATTACCAGTGGGAATAAAATATTACCAGTGAGAATAAAAGATTTCCAGTGGGAATAAAAAATTACCAGGGAATAGGATTACTGTGAATGTTACATTACTGTGTTTGGTTGGTTTGATAGAAATGTGAGATTACAGTGTTTAGTTGAAGTAATAAAATATTACTGGAATGTATATTTTACCAAATTGTCTTTGTTCTATATTTTCTAACAAGTGAAATTCTAAATATTTAAATAAAAATTATTTATATAAAAATTTTATTTATTGATAATATATTACTTGTGTATTTAAATATATCATATATTATTTTTATTTTTATTAATATTAAACATTACATAATTTATGTAAAAATATATTAAAATTTTACATCAACATTTAACATTTAACTAAATGTTTACATTGTGAAAATTCTTCATAGATATTCATAATAATAAAAAGATAGTAAATTATTTTTGTTATTTAAGATATAATATTTATTATATCTTCTATATACAATAATTTATGCATTTATTTATCTTTTATATTTATACTTAATTATGCATACTTTATCATTATTATTTATCTCATGAATTTATATTACAAAAACATAATTCAAATAAATAAGAAAATATAACACTAAAAATCATATTGTCTATAATTTTATATTTCACCGTCATTCATCATTATCTTTGCTAATATTTTAATAAAATTATTAATACTCAGTTCTAATATGATTTGTACTCAACTCTTGATTACGAAAAGCAAGCAACCCAATAATTCATGTTTCTCAACCTGTAATTTCTCTCCGAACATACAAAATCCAACAGAGGCCAAACTTTGAACATACTAGACCGTTAATTTCTTTCAAATCATACACAAAGGACAAGTGGAATAGCTTACATCTATTTAAAGAGAATTCTAAAACAATTTTAAGTGGTTGCTAATTCGACCATGTCCAATATCGGTCATGAGATTGCTAATTCAACTATGTCCGAATTATTGTAAGCATGTCTGAAATTTGACTTATTTCCGAATTATTTGAACTATTTGTAGGGTAAAATGATGCTCTATTTAACAATAGAAGCCGTAGCGAAAACCAAATTTTTGAACTTACACCGTTGAAGATTAGTTTTTGGAGTAAAAATCTAGATTTTTAAGCGTAAATAGTAAAAACGAAGATGATGCATAAAAAATTTGATACATAATTATTGGGGTAAATAAATTAAGTTTGAATGAATAGGATTTTATTTGTTTATTTATTTTTATAAGTATTTATGTTTAATTTGTATTCATTTAATTTTTAGTATTGTATTTGTGTTCATTTTTTTTCTTCGGAGAACTAACAACTATGCCCCAATTATTAACCAATATACGCTATATAAACAATGCACTCCATTATGAAGGGTCAAAACCTCAAAAACTAACTTATACGCTATATAAACAATGCACTCCATTATGAAGGGTCAAAACCTCAAAAACTAACTTTTCAAATCCATATAAACGCTCTTTGTTTGTTCAGAACAATATACCCGAGTAATGTGAAGCTTTCCCCGGACACTGCCGGAATTATAAGGGTGTGGTATTCCAGGCTAGACTTCAATTCCTAGTATAAAAAAGTAATAAAAACATATAATAACATATGGAGAATTTGAAGTTTAAACAAATACAACTGGCTTGGTTACTGGAAAATGACAGGAAAACGATAATGAAACTTGGGTTTAATTTCAAAAGCTCGAACCAAACCCATTATCATAATTCAATTTTCTCAAATCGTTCCTCTACAGTTTACCATAACCGAACAATGGAGAAAGGAAATCTAAAACATATAAAAATAGTAAGAACTAAAACGTTTTGTTCAAGAGCTAACCCAAGAAACAAATACAAATAAGAATTGTTTGTTAGCATTGTTCCATAAGTACAAACAAATTAAGATGAATTGACCTGGATATACAACTTAAAACTATAGGATAAAATATCATAGAAGAATCAGTTACTAAACAGTACAAACTACCCTTGCAATGTCTTCCAAAAACCAGTGTTAATGAATAACCTAAACATTACAAGTGTAGCACCATATCCAAAGTTGCGACACACATAGTAGGAGAATCATCGCAGGCAATCATAAGTACAAGAATATATAAAATATGTTACAGAGTCAAATTCTCGCAAAAATATATATATTTCATCATTCGTATGAGCCAACTTTTGGATAAGCTTGTGAAACTTATCAGATGTGCTTGTATTTATTTGAGATTGGAATTAATGAACATTTTATTTATTAGCTTATGTGCTTATCAGTGGAGACATTATGAATTTATACCCGGACTTCAACTCAACCAACCTAGCTACACAAAATATTGTAACCTCTGTGCTTGAGAAGTAGTTTAGCTGAAGTTATATTATATGGGGTCGGTTACCATCAGCAGAAGACATTATTTTCCACAAAAGAAGGCCTCTAGAAGAATGAAAAACTACGGACTAGTTTCTCATGGAATAAGTTCCACGAAGAAATTTATAAAATACCGAAAAACACACGTATTGAACAAAATATAGCACAAACTATATCTAATATTACCACCTTGGAGATCTTCAGTTTAAAGGATGCCCGCCCATTTGATAATTTACTAGGTCGGTCAGAAGAGGCAAATTCAATTCCATCACAGCTAACTAGAAGAGGAGGTTCTTCACCATTTATCTTCTCAACGGGTAACCGATTAAAAGCATACAAGAGTGATGCCACGACCTTTCCAACAAGCAATGTGAAAAATTAGGTGCTGAAGGTAAAAACAGTACTGCGAAATTAAGCTTAAAGACTAAATTACCTCTAGTTCCTTGTTTACTGGCTGCCCAAAGATATTTAATAAAACAACATCCAAGGAAAAGATCCGACGACGATATGCCTGAGAAAAGGTAAGTTTAGATAAAATATAAGGAGCGGTAAACTCATATCATTCAGGAATCAATAAGGTTGAAAAACTGTCTTGTATTCTGTGAAATGAGCAAGATATACTCTAAGCTACTCTTAGTCTTCAAGTACCCATGTTCAACGCATACTCAAGCTTGTACATGCAAATCTTGGAAAAGAAAATTTGCCTTTACAACAAAGTCAGAGTAAATAGGCTATATTACCACATCAAATGCTAAAGATTGGGGATAAAAGCTAACATATCAGCAATATTTACATACCAAGATAAGAATATCCTTTTAATTTCGAGTTTGAATGTCTTTACAGTTGGCTGGCTCTACCAGGCTTGAACATTTATTGCTTAGACTAAAGTAGTGGCATGCAAGTTAACAACCTATTACTTTATTTATTTCACAATCCGACATCAATATTGGGAGACATTTTAAAATTTTATATCAATTTTATGTGCATCTCCCAATAGATGATGAAAACAAGTAGGAAACAAAGCTCAGTTATATCAATAGGATAACTTTAAGATTATAAAAAGGATACATTAATAATATCACAAAAGAAATGCATAACTGCTATCACAAAAGTTGTTTCAAACTCTTTGGTATTTACTTTGCCACCAAAAATATGCCAAAAGCCAAACTGGTCTTCTTTAATATTAGAGATAGTAGACTTATCGATAGACAATCTTAGAGGTGGATCCTGGTATTATATTTTTGCATCAGTTTTCTAAACCTTAAGGTAAACTTACATGCTATGGAAAAACATCGAGGAAACATGAGAACTACAAGTAAGCCACCTTCACATATTGGTCCTTTACGGAGAACGTTTAAGGCAAGACTTTTGCGTCATGGATGAAAGCATGAAAACTTCTATTGCCACGAATATCAATCAATGTCCTCTTCCTTGAACTACAAGAAAGATGTCACACTCCTGCAATCTCCCCATTAGTGCAAAGCCGCACAAAATCAGAAGAGACCTGACAAAGAAAGGAAAAACAGAAAAATCGGCATACATGATGATAATAGCCAGGGCAACAAAACTAATTTTCATCTAATGAAGTATACTGCAGTAAAACCTTAGAAAAACATTTTCTGCTACTAAACAGACCAAATTACAACCAGTCCATTCTGTTCACTCATTCCGAAAACTATCTCGAACATTTCAAACACCATGGCAAGATATTAAAGCAACATATGAAACTACAAATAAAGGTGCAACATATGATACCTCGTATCCGACATGTATCCATTTGTTTTGGTTTTGTTCAATCTCGGCGGTTAATCGTAAATCAGTGTTTCCAGGACCAGGAGCTTCATTGAGTAGGCAAGTCAATGGTAAAAACATCAATGTCTTTCCGTTTAGAACAAGTAAAGGGGACCTGCTGTTACTCTCTGCATACACCTATTTAAAAAAAAGTCGAACTTAATAGAAAAATCGAAATCGAAAACTCTAATAAAGGTAAATTACTAATACAAATTTAAGAAAACGATCATCAAAATAATGAATATTGTTGCTCTAGTAGGTGATAACAGGAGAACTGAAGCTACAAAACAATGACGAATCATTAAAAGGAACAGAAAAATAAGAAATGGGTATTTTCCTAACATCCAAATAGAAAAGAAATCAAACCAAGAAAGGTAATTTTAGGACGTGATTAACAATTTCTTCTTGTAAACTACTCATTAAATCACATAAAAAACACAAAAGCAGAACAAAAAACAACAAGGAATGAGAAATGAGTGATTTCCCTAACACAAAAAGATCAAATTTTGAGTTGCTAAACCTGTTCAAGAATGGTTTCGGGATACACAGAATAGAAGTTGAAGATAGAAACCCAGAAGCATAAAACAAAACCCTTTTCTTCATCAACTTCAGTTTTCACTTATAAATCCTTCAGCAAAATGTAATCTTTCTTTCTTATTATCGGATTGTTCTCACCGAGAGCTCGTCGGCGAGCCCAAGGGAGAGGAGGACATGGGTCGGTGGAGTTTTGACGGTTTTCTGGGGAAGGTGATGGAAAAAATAGAAGGGTGAGAAGATAACCGGTTTAAGAGTATAAAGTAGTGTTTGTTTCTGGAGGGGTACTGTAATCTGCTGATTACAAGCTCTGTAATTTGCGGATTACAAGAATACGTAGTAGAAGAGGTGTATTAAAAATTTATAGTCTATAATAAGGAGATTGTTTGTTATTTAACATCTACGTACTGTTAAAATAAACTGAAATATAAATAAATTAATTTTTTAAACTTAAAAGAGTTTTGTAATACTGAAATTTAAATAATTTTAATTTTATAATAATGAATTTAAATAATCCATACAACTACAATAATAATTTTTTTAAAATAAATCAATCTATATTTTAAAATAAATCAATCCATATTTTAAAATAAATCAATCAATATTTTAAAATAAATTTTTTCATATTTTAAAAAAAAAATTTAAAATAATTTTAATTTCTTTGAAGAGATTTGAAGACTTTTAAAGATATAAAATCATGTCTGCACCAAGAAGACCTCGCGTAGACGTTAGAAGAGCTTCTGTCTTCTAACAAACAAACGTTTTGCGAAGCCCAATGTCTGCGCGTGGTCTGCGCAGCGCAGACATAAGAGCTTTGCAGACATTGCACAATAAAAACAAACACGCCTAATTAATTCAACTATGAATATAATCGGGCCCTATCAAATATCTTTACTTTTACTTTACGGTTTACAACCCCCTCTTTAAAACTATTCAATCTTCCATTAAAACTCAAATACAACACAAGATTATGAAAAAAATGGTAGAATGAATCCAAGCAAAACAACAACTATAAGGAAACTATCGCTCAAGGTTAACTTAAATCGACTACACTAATTTTTCTGGAAAATTAAACAAGTAAAACATTGTAAAGAAAGTGAGAGGAGAAGAAATCTTATCAGGAGAACGATGAATTTTTCGCAAAGGTAAGCTCTTACAGGGGAGAAGAAGATATCACAGAGGCAAACAAACATAAGAAGGGTATTTTAGCCCTTAGCACACGGGAATAAAAGAATATCTAACAGGTGTGTGGGAATAACATTTCCAAGAATAAACGCACAATATTTACTGTTGGGAAAGAAATATTACCCTAACTTGGGAAAGAATACCCAACCAAACATGGTATCCTTAGTCAGAAAAAAAAATATGTCTGCCAGGAATCCTAAAATCCTTGATCCAAACGGGTCATTATTATTATTTGGAATTATGGTTTATAAAACACAATAAATAGTCTTTTAAATTAATTTTAAAACGACGTTTAAATCATCTACAAATTTAATCATTTGTATTGTAAATGGAAGAATGAACGGTATTTAGACGCATTTATATTCGTGTCCTTAAGATAATAAGGATGTTAACAAAATTAATTATTAATTGAATTTAAATATTAATAAAATAAACATTTAACTAACTTTAAGTAATGACGTGGATCAAATTTTGATAACAAATTAGTTGTACGAGAATAATTAGGTTTTTGGAAAAATATTAATCATGAGTCATGATCCAATTGGTGTGTATAAAAACCATGTTTAATATATTGGGTAAATCACAATCAAAGTCACTTAATTATGAGTTCAATAACAAATATATTATTTTCCCCCTATAAGTTATAAACATATCATTCAATTGAAATATTATTATAAATATAATAATAATAATGTTAAACATAATAGTTGTCACCACCGTCTTTCGGTTGGGCTCCGGAATTGGGCTTCGACTTAGGAAAATAGATTAGGAGTCGTCACCGATCATTTATTTTAAAGCAAATGGGTTGATAGGACACCCTATTTCTTACCTGGTCAGCTTCTTACCAAAGATGTGTCGAATTCGGGAGTCGGTTACAGTCAAAGAAAGTTTAGCACCCTTGAACTGCCCTTTCGGTACTACGTAATTTTCAGTTGTCTTTGATTAAGAAAATTGTAAGTTAAATTAAAAGATAAAATGACGATCCAAATTACTCACCTCTAAGGTTTGGAAAACAAACCCTTAAATAATCAATAAAAGTGTTAGAAAAACAAAAACGATGAAGATAAATTGAAAATAAAGAAAATGAAATAAAGAATAGATAAACAAAAATAAATAAATAAATACTAACAAATATGGACGAAAAGTAAACAACACAGTTGATATGGAGATTATGAAAATAAAAGGAATATATAAAAAATAAAGACAATGAAATAAGATAAATAAATAAATAAAATAGGAAAAATGAATTAATGAATAAAGAAAATAAAAATAAAATAAATAAACAAAACGAAGGGAAAAAAATGTAAAAAGGGAAATACATACATATTAGCTTATAAACTAAAAATATATATAAAGAAAAATATTAAGAAATAACGTAAAATATATATATATATATATAATATAACATATAAATAAAATAAGTAAATAATAAAATAATAATGATACATGTATATACATAACAACAAAAGGAACTAAATAATAATAATACACAGGAGTAATATCAAATATATACTATAATGTAATATTAAATAAAATAAGAAGAAAATTGAAATTCAAATCTAGAAAACGGACTAGAATGTAAAAATAGAAAATCGAATGACAAATTTTGGAGCACTTTGAGGATGAATTGGAATTTCAGGGTGTAAATTAAATCCTTTATAAACGAGGGGACCAAGAGTGAGATTACCCCTTTTTCACACCCATTCCGAAAATCAAAGTATTTTCTCAAGAAAATAAGCCTTGGGGGCTAGATCTATAAAAATAGATCCCGAAAAATGCCCCTGTTCATCGGCAAAAAATCCTTTTCTTTGGTGTTTTTCGAATACAAAATGTAACGAGACACAAGCATGCAAGCGTAAACTCGAAAAAGGTACTATATTTACCTTGTATTTCTCTTCGAAAATTTGCAGGAAAAAAAAACTCTGATTTCGCTCTAAGATTACTAGTAATTTCTGCTTGTATTTATATCTCCATTTGTGTGTTACAAATGATATGGATTACATGTATTTATAATGGAAAAAGCAGACTATTTTTAGAATCCTATACAAAATAGACTTCTAACGCTCTTTGGTTGCTGTGAAAATTGGCTGCAGGAGGAGTCTTCGGGGAGGAGACATTTGGCACTGGAAAATTAGTGTCTACAACTGCCCCTCTTTGTCTTTTTTCGTGGAATGAAAAATAGGGCAAAGATAAAAGACACAAATTTTCGTTCATATCGAATATCCTCTATCGCAGAGTTGAAATCCGATATTTGATTGGTTTGCCAAATTGAACTGAAATATGGAATGACTCCCTCGTTGTGAGGTCGAGTTGAACTGGAAGCTTCTGAGCACGATATCCTTCGTCGTGAAGTTGAAATCGAACTCAAAGCTTTTGGCGAGTGGCCTTTGAATCGTCTTATGGATCAAGATACTTTGTCGTGAAGGTGAAACTTGTCCTGAAGACTACGGTGTTGCTGCGTTACAGATGACTCCTTCGTCGTGAAGTTGGAATCGAATATGGCCCCTTCGTCGTGAAGTTGAGCCTTGGATTTGGATATCATTTGTCGTGAAACTGAAATCCAATGTAAGTTGTGTTGTTTCGAGGCCAATATACTTTGATTTGAAGTTGAAATTGACTCTGAAACTGAAAAGTGTGTTGACAGACGCTCCTTCTTTGTGTTGGATATCCTTTGTCGTGAAGTTGAAATCCAACCTATAGATGGATGTTGCTTGTGTTCACGATTCCCTTTGTTGTGAAGTTAAAACCGTTGGTGACCCCTTCGTTGTAAAGTTGAGTCTGGAATTGGATACCCTTCGTCGTGAAGTTAAAATCCAAGTAGGTTGTATTGTTCCGAGTCCAATATCCTCCGCCGTGAAGTTGAATTTGGTTCTGGAACTGGGAAATTGTTTATTGACAACCAGTCGTCCCTTCGTTGTGAAGTTGAACTTGTGTTGTCTCGAGTCTAATATCCTTCGATGTGAAGTTGAAATTGGTTCTGAAATTGGGAAATTGTTTGTTGACAACCAGCCGTCCCTTCGTTGTGAAGTTGAACTTGTGCTGTCGCGAGTCCAATACCCTTCGCTGTGAAGTTGAAATTGGCTCTGAAATTGGGAAATTGTTTGTTGACAACCAGTCGTCCCTTCGTTGTGAAGTCGAACTTGTGTTGTCTTGAGTCCAATATCCTTCGCTGTGAAGCTGAAATTGGCTCTGAAATTGGGAAGTTGTTTGTTGACAACCAGCCGTCCCTTCGTTGTGAAGTTGAACTTGTGTTGTCTCGGGTGGGGCGATATCCTCTGTTGTGGAGTTGAAATCATGGATGTGTGGGAACGATATCCTCCGTCGTGAAGTTGAAATCCAAGTATTGTGAAGTTTGGCTTCGAGCTAGATATCCTCCGTCGCGAAGTTGAAATCTACTCTCGAGTTGATTGTGTAGCTTTGAGCTCAATATCCTTCGCTGCGAAGTAGAAATTGACTCTAGCTAAAACCTGAAAAAGTTATGCATATATGTGATGAGATGGATACAATGCTCTTAGGTATGCCTAAAATGCATATGCAACATATGTTATTTTCGGGCTCATGAGAGAAATATCGATCTCCGGTTGCTTTTCTGGAATCTTAGTTCTGAAATCTTCAAGTTCTGATCCCTGATCTCGAATTCTTCAAATGTTCAAATATGATGTGCACATTATATTTTTTTGATTTGATAAATGCTTTTGACCATCCCAAGTATGTGCCTGAGCTGAGTGTAACGGTGCAGATGATGCTTCAAGAGAAATTGTCTCGAAAGAGACATAATTCGCTTCAAGGGAAACGATCTCAAAGATATCTGTTGTTTCATGAGAAACGGTCTCAAGGGAGACAAAATTTTGTTTTAAGAAAAACTATCTCAAGAGAGACAAAACTTAGTTCCAAAAGAAATTGTCTCACGGGGAGATGAAATTAGTTCCAAGGAAAACATATTCAAAGATTTTATTTCAAGGGAAACTGTCTCAAGAGAGACAAAATTCATTTCAAGGGAAATGTTTTCAATGTTTATG